AATGGTTTCTTGATCAACATGATGTAGCATTAACTACTTTGTTTGTAATTGTAGGTACCTCCATTAATAAGGAAAACTAAAACAAAAGGTTGAAAGAAGGCTAACATAACCATTTGATTAATCCACATCCTTTTGTACCTAGTAAGTTAACTGCTCATACAAGTAATGAAGTTCAAACTAAACAAAGCTAAGTGACTCCACATACAAACACACTCCCACATGTAAACATATACCCCCTGTGACTGCTCCACCTCTATCTAGACAAGTCAAGACTCCACCATAAGGGTTTTTTCATATACTTAGAGGACTGAGGTGGTTTTAGTGTCAGAGTGAATTTAAAGACTAGATGAACAATATATATTTTCAACATTTTTTTGTTTGAGTAAAATGCATTGACCTCCCTTCTAGTTTACTTTAATTATAGATATATACCTCCTTTCTATTCTAAAAAACTATACAAATCTCTCATAGAATCAATAATCACAAAACACAAACCTCCCTTCTACTTTAAAGATTTCATTTCCATATACCAAAACCATTAATTGACTGTTGAGTCACATTTATCGGACCAACATACCCTTCTTTAAACATGAATGTTACCTAAAAATCATTTAAAATACCAAAATAATATTTCAAATACACATGAAAAAAAATTGATGAAATAGGTATTTAATATAATAAGAGATAAATTAGTTAATATAATTCTTTTTTTTGTAAATTGTACCAATATCAAACAATATTTTTAAATTATTTATTTAAATATTGTCATAATTAATTATTCAAAGTTCGTTAAATTTGGAGAGAGAAAAAGTACTATTCAATTATGATGACAAATTAGTAATTGTAAATTTTGCAATATAATTAAAAGGGAAAAAATAAATATTTCAAAATATTTAACAAAACATTTCTAATAGTGTTAAAAATTGGACTAAAGTGCATCTTTTGAAAAAAAAAAAGGAGGTCCCTATAATTTTAGAAAAAGAGAAGGGATGTTATTGTATTTTATTTGCTCCCTTTTATTTGGTAGTTTTTTTACTTCCATGTTTGTCATTTGGTATTCGTGATTACTGTGATCTTGTGGTTCATTTGTGTAGCCTAGTCTTGGTTTTGAGGTTATGATTGAAGAGGAGGCTAAAAAAAAAATATAGAGAGAGAGCAAGATGCAAACCTTGAAATTAGATTTCCCATCCCAAATGAAAAGGAGCTTAAGAAGCAGAAAACTCATACAATCTCTACTACAAGGACCTCGAGGACAATACCTTTCAATGGAGATAGAGTCAATGTGAAACAACCTTCAAACCTTCCTTTCAAAGCACCTAGACTCAAGTGGGTTGGACATAATAGTGTCACAAGATCACACCTTGAGTCACTCAAATAAAAGAGGATTAAGTTGGAAAAATTGAAGATAAGGAGGGGAGAAATATAGATTAGGTCATTTGGGTCTCTTGTATTTAAGTCTATCACTTGGTTCTATGGTTGTATATTAATGACTTGTTATTAAACTTAGTTATGGCCATTTTACTTGGTTTTGGTTACTTGTGTTTTGTATTTGATATGGGGCCAATTATGGTTATTTTAGCCATTTTTGAAATGGTTGTCACTTGAAAAGCTTATTACGTAATTTGTACTTTTGTGTTGGTTGTAGCAAGCTCAAACAATTTATTTTTCAATAAGTATTTAATGCAAGAATATGTTTATTATATGTATATTGTAGTGTACAAATTGAAGATGATGAATTATTTATGTTGGAACCTTATTCATTTAATGTGTATATTGTATTGTGTTGGAATTGAGGATGCCGTGGAAGAATTAAAATTTTCAAAATTTTCAATTTTGATCACAGATCTGACAACATCATTTAAGATGGAGTAGATAGAATTTTACATTTACACTTACAATCTTAAGAATCTTTCCATTTAGATCTAAGAAACTAGATTTCCATGGCTAGTTTCATCTATTAGTATCCACACGAATAGCTTTCTTACTTGAACAATATGCTAATGCTTCAAACTTCTAACGTTCGTTGAAGAAGTCATGATCTCCTTCGTTTCTCCTTCTTTTCTCGTACGATGTCTCTCTCTTTTCTCTTGGGATGAGGGTGACTCTCTACTTTTCAATTAGCATTTTTTAAAAAACCCTAGCCTCTATCTTATATAGAGGTTGGTTATCTAATTTCTAAGGAGATATTTGAATTTAACAAGGATTAATTTTGAAAATTTGATTTCTTCATTAATCCTTATCATTTTCAAAATTAGATTTAATAGGTTGGTTTAAATTTGGATATATCCAATAGATTAATTTAAATTATTTTATTTAATTCATTTAAGAGCCAACCAAAAAGAATTTAATTCATTTCCATAAATTAAATTTAAGATATCATATCTTATAAGATTTTTTTCTAACTTGATTTTATCTCATAAACTCAAATTTCAAAACTTATATGGTATCTTTCTATATCATAATAATTATTAAATTTATCATATCTTATAAAAATAAATTTAATTCTAGTACAATATAATATTATATTATAATATACATATATATATATATGTATGTATGTATGTATATGTATATATATGCGTACATGTATATATATATATATATATATACATATTTCACATATATGTACTCCATTCGTTCAAAAATGTAACATATTTTTTGAAGGGTTGGATGTTTAAAAAAGTAAGACATTTTTACTCTTTTAAGGTGTAATCATTACCTTTTTTTACAAAAATGTCCTTATTAAATGAGTCACTTTATTATTATTTAAGGGTGAAATACCCTATTAAATAGAGATAAATATGAAAAAATAAAGTTAGTTTAAAAATAAGTGATTACTTTATTAGGGATGAGATTCAATTAAAAATATTATATTTTTTTACTAGAGGAAGTATATAAATATATATATATATATATATATTATATAATATTAAATTTGAATTTTATATGATATATACATATAAGTATTTATCTCATACACACACACACACAAATATAAAATCAATTCACCCTAAATTAAAATATTGTATTCCTTTAATCTAGACAAAAATTAGATTAAATGAATATTATAGCTTCAGTTGGGTCATTCTTGTATGTGCTCCTGTAGGATCATATGAAGTTAGTAGTGGGCCAATATCATCATTAGTTCATAAGTTGCAAGTGACCTTTAGCAAGATGTTACAACTACCCAAATCATATAAGGATCAATGATTCAATAAAACCTATAATACAACTATATCACATCATTTTTGTCACATGATATTTTGGTCAAGTATGAGGCATAAAAACGTCATCCTCCTTTATGTGATCATTACTTTCCCAATCCCTAAGTAGATTAATTATAGAAATGGAAGCCTTTTTCCATTGTAACATGGCCATGCATTTCTTACTCTCACTTATTGAGGGGCCCAGTAACATCTCTACTAATATGACGGATAAATTTTATCTCGACCATTCGTATTCCTTTACATGAAATCCACAAAACTCGATCATAGCTTTTATGATCACATAATTAAAGGTGACTTTTGATTAAGTCAAAGTTTGGCAACCCTCATGTAAGAATTCATGATGAAGTCAAGTCAAAGGATTTAGTGATACAATTATAGATGCAATAAGCTTATGACTTGATCCCTGCAGCTTTTTCATGGCAATTCAGTCCAACATCTTGTACTCTTACAAGTGCCTAAATTTTGATTCATATCTCCATACATGAACTAAAATCATACCAGTCTTACTTCATCTTTGTTTTCACAAACATGATCGACCAAGGATATATAGGATAATCATTGCGATTTATCCTAAAATACAATTACCATAGTGAATATGCAAATAATATGATAATAAAGGAAAATTTCATTATAAATTACAATGTTCATAATAAAATGATTGGCATATGGCACAATTTCCAACATATTGTATAGATTCAATTAAGACAAAATGATAAACAAGCATTCAAAATTTCATTCATTGCTTCCCATACATAAATGGGGGTTCAAAATTTCAAATATATCAACTATTGTTACACAATTTTTACACACACCACTCGTGTCATTTTACAAAATGCAAAGAGTATCCATCAGCACACCAATGCTAGGATTGCAAACTTCAACTTCCTTCTCTCATTGATCAATTTTATCTCGCTCCTCGCCCTTTTTGCCTTCAACTTCTTCCACTCGTGGATGCCATCAAACTCAACTATTAAACCACCCACCTCTATTCTTCCTCTCAATATTGCCTTCTCTTTTTCTAACCTGTCAAGATGACCTAATAATTCAATGATGACAACCTTTGACCTTTGCCCAAGATTACTATTGTGCCATTAGAAGAAGCCACAACCCCCTCTCTGTCACAAGAATAAACTCAATAAACTCATGGCAAAGTCTAGTTGATGTGCAATCTTTCATATTAAAATCGAACAACTCAAATGCATTTACACATACCTAGTGATAGTTGAGACACCTATAGAACCTTTAACCCAAATTACCCTCAGTCCACGTTGTCCACCTTGTGGCCATCATACCGCAGTGACACAACCTTCACTCACCTTTGCATTCGACGTTGCCCCCTCTTTGCTTCAACAATGTCATCCTCCTTCAACTGTTTCCTAACAAGGATGAAGAAGAATCTACCGTCAAGTTTGCTTGAAAAGCCATAGCAGTGATCTCTTCATGCCGTCCATCTCATCCAAGTCGTCCTCCTCTTTCTTAGTGAGTTGATGAATTCATTTGGTATCCATAAGTTAGGTTGGCGGGAGAATTTATTAAAAAGAATTAATGTTGCATTTGCCAACACCTTCCACCTCAACTATTAATAGCCACCTATCACAGAAAATGGGGCCCACAAGAATTGGTGTAATGCAAGTTTGTCATGATTTAACAGCAAGATAATGAATGCTCCGAATTGATTACTTAAGGGGGCAAAAATGTTATATGAGATATTTTAGAGTACTGAGTATTCTTTGAAAAAAATATCAAGAGCAAAAATAAATATTTACCCAATAATTAATTATATGGAAAAGCATGTTATTATTACATCCAAACTTCTATTTCTGCACTCTCTTTAAAAATGAAATCATAAGAATCAAGGTCAAGGAAATTAATGAATTTCCTAAATGAAAGAAAAGCATGGATGCTACAAAACTCGTGAGTTTAGAGCATCAGCTCATCTTGGGGCTACAGAAGATATTGGCCTCTTGGCCTCATCTTGCTGGTGCCTTTGAGCAAGAATTTGCTTTGTCTTCTCAAGAACACCAAAGAAAATTGAACCTCCAATGCCTATCCACAAAATTCTAGGCCCCATGCCCTGTAAGGTTAAAAAAAAGAGAATGAAAAAGAAAAACAAAAACAAAAACAAAACAATAAGGAAGGTGAAACAGTATTCCTTTCATCTCAAATTATAAGACAATTTGAAACAAGATAATACAAACAAATAAAACTCAATAATGATACTTTACAAATTTACTTTTTTCAAAACAACAATATAAACTTTCAAAAATGCAATTCATTTAATATAACTTTAAATCTATATGCTTAATCATTATACTACAATTATTTCAATTCTCGCTCCATTTGAAGGATACTATTAAAAAAACATCATTAATAAAGTCTTATTTTTGTCAAATTGTCATATATTTTGAGACAACGAAATATGTCCAAATTTGTCTTATAATTTGGGATAAAAGGAATATTATTGATAAGTTGTTCTATAAAATGCAAGAGCATTTTTGGTTTCATATCAGAAACCACCAAAATCATGATTTTAATTAATAATTTCTATAACACGAAACCAAACACGCACCAATTGTGTAAATAAACCATTTCGAATTTGATTATGGGAAAAAGAATTGGATTAATGTTAACACTGAATAGTATGAAATGGTCATATACCTTGAAAAGAGCTTGAGTTCCTTCTTCTTTGATTATGGTTCTCACACAATCACTAATGCCTTTGTAATGGCTTTGTGATCCCTGATGAGAGGCACAACAAATGTTAAGTAACAAACCAAACCACAACCACTGATCAAACATGTTTCATGGGGAGTGAAAGGGAAGGCAGATTGTCAGAACCTGAACCATCAATCTGGTTTTTACAACATCCAGAGGAGTTGTAACTGCTCCAGTTACAGCACCTGCAAGTTGTCAAGTTAATCATTACCATTTTCAACCAAGACAGTGAAGACTGAACGAGTTATTGAAGTGGTCAAGGTAATAGTTTAAAGGTCAGCAGTCCCACCAAGGTCAGACCAATCATAATTATAATAATATAATATAATTAAAATATATAGAAATATTTATATTTGACTATAATTTCTAGCACTATTGTACAGATTCATAGAATGGAATGTCGTTTTGCCACATTAATAAACCAAAACTGCAGCATATCAATCTGTACATTTTGAAAATTTCATAGCCATATGATAGACCAAATTTCAATGAAATTACACGATCAGTTTAACATAACTTTCAGCCCCAAAAATATGAATGTATTATTTCTCTTTTAAAAAAAAAATATCAAAATGTCATTTTAGGCTTTGGACTTAGAAGGGGCAATATTTGGGTTGATCCTGGATTGATTGATGGATAAGACTGACCAAGTGACCGATTTAGCCAGTTGACCCAGGTTTCCAACATGAAATCAAACACCCATTAAATTAAGAGAAGGCAATATACTTTCAAGTTTCAACCGGGGAGGAAAAAAAAACAAAAAAAGTCATGGACATGAAGTACCAGCAAAAGCACCAAGCATAGCATTCTCTGGATCATTCAGATCTCTTTTGGCCTGCAGAGAGTGCAAAACCAAATATTAACAATTCCCACTTTCTACAATCTTAATTTTCCATAATATCCTACAAAATGATGCCAAAAAATCCCATAAGTATTGTAAATTGAATGGCAGCATTGCAATGAACATAATTATGTTAGTTTTGTGGAATATCCCGTTACATGAACCAAAAGTTTCATTTAAAGTAAATTCAAACCCAATCAAAATATCCTTAAACCTAGAGGCCACATCTATGTTATTACCGCTAACTTATATCCTATCCGAAGCTGCTCATATATGCAAAATTGTATGGCATCAAATGGCAAATCTCGCAATAGGAAGGATCCATATCCCTGCAATATCAGGAAAATAATACGTAAGCCAAGGAAAACAAAACAAGAGCAAGGTTTGCATACGGTCCTCCTATACCTAATAATTAAATAGCTCATCATAGTCCAGCATACATCAACGTATTCATACACACTCTGACATAAACCAACCTAAAAGTTTTCTTCCCCCTTCCACAATGGGGATATGAACTAAAGAAAATCTTCTAGGAAAAGATGTTACAGCTGCAATAATCTGCTTCGTCAGTTGTAATACATGTAATTAAATGGCCATTCCCGCAACATGCAAGTCGCAACTGGGTATTACATACCGCATAGAGACCTTTGAAACCCTCCTTGGCAACAATGAGACGGACAGCAGCAGAAGCTGAAGTAAACTGTCCAGTTTGCATTCTTTGCTTAACAACCTATAAGCATTGGAATCAAATGATTCAATTCCAAGCTCCAGAAAGTTCGAAAAAATATGACAGTGTAAGAGAAAAGGCTAATTACCTCAGTTGGAACACGAACAAGAGAAGAAGCCAAACCACCAATGGCACCTGCAGCCTATATTAGGCTTAGGACTATTAAAATAACCACACACACTCATACATCAATGCGTGCATTCAAGATATTTTATATGTAACACGGTAATGAAACAAACCAATTATTAAGAATTTAAGAAAGCCTTATGACAGAAAATATGGGAGACATTACTTTAGAAGGAAGTAGTTTTTAAGTTATTTTGGTTGTAATTTTTCTTCTTCTAAAAGAAACCTTGGCTAGTAGCTTATGATTATTGCATTTTGCTTTTGCTTTCCTTCATGAAGAAAACTAGGGTTGTAGCTTATTATTATCTTCTAGGCTAGGAGCTTATTATTACGTTTGCAATTGGGCTGGAAACTTTGCTCTATAAATTGGGCACTAGCATCATGTGAAGGCACACTTTGATGAATAGATGAATGAATGAATATCATGAGTAAAGTTCTGACAGCTCTCTCTCTCTCTCTCTCTATGTTTCAGTTCCTCACTAATCTCTCCTGTTTGAATCTGTGCAAGTGTGTATGAGTGTCTGTGGCATCACCTTATGTCATTAAGAATCCAGTAGTGCACTCAAGATAAAGGGTACAAGGGTCATTCAATACAGTCTTAATGTTAACATCAATCCCAACTAAGGTCTCAATATTATGAACAAAAGAACTCATTCATTTTAACAGAAAATAAATATAATTAAAAAATGTGAGGCGTAGCTAACATGTCAAGTTAAAAAAACTCCACATTGTCATCTGTTTGTTCGTCAGCAACGGTTTCTTGTGAACTAAAATGTATATGAAAAACCCATTCTTTGTTTTCTCAAAACAGACAAATTGTGATTTGGCACAATGCGGTCAAAATTCATCGCTGGTTATTCTTAAAAGCAAAAGCCACAATTTTATGTTTGGGGAGTTATTTCCTTCTGTATGTTTATCTGCCTGCTTTTTCTGATAACTTTAGATTAATTAATACTGCTTGTCACAACTATAATTTAAGTTTATAATGTTATACAAAGCCATTGGCTTCATTTAAACTGCAGAAGTCAGTTGCTTCAGCAAAACATTAAATTAAATTGAAACGAATTTCTGATGAACTTTTAATAAAATGACTATACATGCTTGTTTGATACTTTTCAGGTTTCTTGCAGTTCATATTATATCAACGAATGTTCACTAGCACTTTCACCTTCACAGGTGAAACTTGCAGTCACCCATGCTTTGTTTATCCTAGGATTTATCTCAGCTCATTAAAAGGTAATAAACAAAATTGAAGTGATTAGGCCTGTTTGATTTCTATTCTCATTTTTTGTTTTTAAAAACTGTTTTGCAATACAGTTTGTAAAATTGTTTTCCAAAACAAAACAACAGGAAAAATAAGTTTGGTTGTGTTAATTTAAAAACAATTTTAGAATTAAAAAATCAGTCAGTATTGATGGCTACCAGCAATTAATGATGATGATTTATGATAATTATTGATCAAGATAATTGTAACTTTTAATAATCAAATGTTATGTATTTTTTAAATAAGAAAAATAAAATGAAAACAACTTTAAGATGTTTCTATTTTTTCTTTTCGAAAATTGGAAATAATTATATTCAAAAACACTCCTCCAAACAAGTTTTTTAATTTTTGTTGTTTTTAAAAGCAGAAAACTATTTTTGAAAATAGAAACCAAACAGGCCCTAAATATGTTATTCTGACATAAGTAACTATCATGCACGCTGCAAGCTAAATATTACTGCTTCAATAATAACAAGATTGCCAGATCCTTTTCCACATGGAAACAACTTACAAAATGAGCAACAGCGCTGAGATTTTCAGGCAGGGAATCTAGCAGTTTCAATTTTGTGGGTTCATATACACCAACAAAAATTGCAGAAGCTCTGTAAAGAATGGGAGGAAAGTGGTCAATCAGGCGTAAGCACCACACAATTCAATCAATTAGGGCCCACTACTATTGCCAAAGATTATGAAATTTAAACAGACTGACACGATTTTCTCACAAGAGTCAAATAAGGGTAGAAAAGGTTCAGTTTGCAGAATGAGTGTTTGCACACACTCACATTAAAATATAAATATTTACATTTATATTGTACATTATGATGCCACAACCTATTACCTATAGTAGACAATGATTATATTAAAAACAATCAAATCCTGGATTCTCAAGCATCTTAGGAAAGTTTAATATTCAGAAATAAATATCGTTGATAGCCTCTGTGCCATTTGCCAATTTTTATACAACTTTCAAATATAGTGTAAAAACCATCTTTGCAGAAAGCATAAGAATATCCCAACTGATGAGTAGAAAAAAATGCTAGTGGATGATTTGAGGACAAATGAAGATTCTTTGTCAACTCCTAAAAGGTAAAAGCAGAAGCTTAAAATAAATAGAATGAATTCATTACATGTAAGCTATGATCAATTATTATCTAGGTGGTACTGAATGATTTTAAATGAAATGCAGATAGAAAGGATCAACGCTAAAAATAATGCCATAAAAATTGCATAGGAGATGGCATATAAGGAATCTTGAAGTAAAGGCCTACTCACGGTAAGACACCAGCAAGATTTCCAGCCAATCCAGAATATAGACCCTTCAAAATGATTTTCCCTCCACCACGGGCAGCCTGTTATCAGAAGAAAAGTAAAATAAGTGAAACAAAATTGTTAACTATACATATTTGAAGAGCAAACCGAAACTTGAAAATAGACTACATCAAAGGATCAATGACAGCCAGGGGACAGCAAAGGAGATAAACAGCAAAAGGAAGGGATTGAAAGCATTAAAAACACTACTTCTTTATGCAAAAGGAAGGGACTGTTAATCAGGCCTTTACATTCCAGGAAAAAAGTAATAAAAATTGGGAAAAGATGGTCCATTAGATCACAAAGAGTTTGCAGACAAATTCTCAAACGTCATCCATAAGGATGCTATGAACCAGATGTTGTTTGAGAAGTAGTTAATGGCATTCACAGAATTCAAGTTATGATATGAAACATGTTATGACGGCCATACTGTAATGGACATGACAAAAGTAGTGTTATGCCACAGCATTTTAAGACCAACAACCACTCCTGGTACTCTATGGATAACAATCCAAAAGTGTAAACTCATGCAAGTTATGAAGAGATAAAGTGTAAATAAAAAATCTAGACTTCATGAACTTAATGCACCTGAAGTCGAGTTTTTATAGTATCAATTGGATACAAGGCTGTTTCTACAACAACACCAGCAGCACCTCCAGCAATGCACCCATCTGCAAATTTCATTAGCAGACCATGAAGAACATCATTATATTTAAAGAGATAGATAAAAAAAAATGTAATATTAGACTAATTTCAATTGTTGCACCAGAACCCAGAGCAAGGAAGGTTACTGTGATCATTGACAAAACTAAACTCACACGATACGCAAATATTTAATATGGTAATTTAAACTCTCGGGGTAGCATACTTTCTACTTTAATACCAATAAGCCAGTTATTGGTGCATTTCAAACTTAAATAAAAGAGTTGGATTGTCATGGGATAAAAAAAAATTATTCGCTCAACAACAACAATGAAAATGGAACTGTAACTTTGAGCATTGAAAATAATCCCCATCTACACCTTAATAGAACCTCTCCAAGGAAACACAAGAAACAGATTTATTGGATAAGATTTCCATGCAAATACACACACAAATTCCACTGATCACAGTTTTCAACATTTAACATAAGGATACCAATATCCCAGAGTGATAGAGCACAATGGTGTCTTACAATCCATGTAGCCGACCCCACCTAGTAGGATAAAGGCTTGTTGTTGTTGTTGTTGTTGTTGTTGTATACCAATATCCCAGAGATCACTTGCAGTACATCTACATTGCATTGCATCTCATTTGATGCCTTAATAAAATTAAGGATCAAACTTTATACATCTAAATGTCATTGACTTCAAGCATCCTGCTTAACCTTTAGTTGTCTTGTGTACTTTCAACGCCCTCATTTCTTACATGAGATTCTACTGAAATCTGTTCCCCCCCCCCCCCCCCATCAAAGGAGAAAAAAAAAAAAAAGCCTGACTGCTTCTTCACCTTAACAGCACTTGATGTAATATTATAAAAAATTGATACAGTCAAGCAGCTCTAAGTTATGTATAATACAATAAGAAGACAGCACAGAACTAGTCAACGGAGATCAAACACAGACCCACCAGCCTCCTTCGGCTTTGTGGTCCACTTATATGAATCCGATCCAAGCCCCCCATACCCAGAATGTATCAAGGCCAATCCTACTACTTTGTATCCATGAACTGGATCTACACAAATTTAAATTGCAATGTCAATACTTACCACGTACAGTACGTAAAAGGTCAAATGGCTTTCTCTCTCCTTCCCTGATCGACATAAACAATTTATTTGTTTCCTTTTGAGATGCCGACATCTTGGACATAATGCATCTGTATAGGAGAGTGATTTGTTCACAATAAGCAATGGAAAATAGCAAATATGAATGGTACAATCAAATCAATGAGCAAGTTAATCATAAGCATGAGATTCATTCCACGCAATACCACTGTACAACTCCTTCCAGTTATACTCATAGAAAGACAAGACTCAGGGATTGCAAAACCAACCATGAAGAAGCCTTGGGCAACAATTGTACAAAATCGCATTTCCATCGCTGGAACATTTAGTCAATAAACAATAATTGACTTCAATTTGAGCTTTGAGAAGACGCACAAGTCAATTTGAGCCAATAATAGCCACAATTAATCATAACCCATCTACATTATCAAAACAGAGGACAATTCACACTTATCGTAACTGGAAAGCCATACAGCAAAAATACCAATAGCAAAAATAAATAAATAAATAAATAAACAAACATGACGATCAGCTGAGCACAGAAAATGCCGTTCCCAATGACAAAGAATCAATCAAGGAATTTACGAGTTCATTGTCAATGCAAAAAAATCACAGCTTAATCAAAAAGGGATATCAGACAATTACAAACCAAATTCTTGTGGCCGGTGAGTGAACGTGACTGTGACTCAACAGTTTCAACTTTCAACTAATTCTTCGTCGGTGAATTCAGAGAGAACCCAGACAAAGGGTTTATGCTGGGTTTGTCTGAAATTTTGTGATATCAGTGTCACGCTGCGTATATTGGATAAATAAAGGGATCCAAGTGACCAGCCCAAAAGCAACAAGACCAGGCTTGCATTTTGGGCTTCCACCGGATTCCATTTTAATCATTTACTATATAAAATTAAAGATAAAAAAAATCAATAAAAGACCACATTAACAATATAATTAAAAATCAAGACTACAAATTCTTAAATTACATTGTAGGATAAAGTGATAAAATTAAAAATAAATTAAAATATATTTTTAATTCTCTAACTTTATATACGATTTTGATTTGACCATTTAATTTTAATATCATTAATTTTAAATGATTATTTTTCATATCAATCATTGTTATTTTAAAAATAAATAAAATTTATATATTAAAATTTAATAATATTTTATTAATATTTAAAAATTTGATGTAAAAATTTTTTAAAACAAAACTAATAATATTAAAATTAAAGAACTAAAAAGATACTTTATAAAATGAAAAGATTAAAATAAAATGTTGTATAAAGTAAAAAGATTAAATTTAATTTATGATCAATAAGAAATGATTAAAATATCTTTCATTAAATAAAAAAAATTAGTTTATGATCCTAAAATATACTTTTCTTTGTGTGTGTGTGTGTGTAGAGAGAGAGAGAGGACCCTTTCGTTTTAGTCAACATCTAAAACGACTCAATCAAATTCAAATTAAACCGACGCTCTACAGACCCAAAAAAACACCTAAAGTAAAATCAAAGGACTAAATTGATGAAACCAAATAAAATTTAAGACGGAAAATAAAACTGACAAAACAAACTTAACAAGCATTGTAACTCAAGCCCAGTACATAAAAAGAAAAAACTCATAACTTCTCTTTCAAACCTGTAACCCCAGAGCCACCTACGTATTTATAAAGAAACTTCTTCCTCCTCAGCACGTAATTAAAACCCAACAAAATGGGAAAGCACAGTACTCATAATCAAGTTCTGGGTTCTCTACTTGTGACGATCTGCATCATTTTGCTATCTTCTTCTTCATGTGCAGTGAGAAAAACCCTAGCTGCTGCTGATTCTCCGGCCGAGGGACCGGCGGAGAGGAAGAGATCTTGGAAAGGCCACGAGCTACCGCCGGAACCCTACAAGGGATACTACGATTGGCTGGGCAAGTGCGGCGAGAAGCTGACGGACAAGTGTGGTCAACAGGTGGTGGATTTCTTGTTCTATAAGAGGACGCTTGTGAGCTATGTTTGCTGTGACAAGCTTGTAAAGATGGGGAAGAAGTGTCACAGAGAGCTGGCTAAGACGCTGGCTCGATCCCAGGACTTTAAGAATCATAAGGCTCAGATCCTGAGGAGGAGCAAGAAAGCCTGGGAACAGTGTTCTTTCATTGAGAAGTGCGTCGCCAAGGTGGAAGAATAGAAAGAGGGAGAGAGGGATGTTTTGAAGCTTGAAGATCGATGAATAATATCAAGATGATGAAACTTTTAGGCTCAAAGTTCAACTGATCAGTTACTGATAATTGGTTCCTTAGATCTACTTTTTTCTGATTTGGTCTATTAAGTTTGTTTTGGTTATCAATTTAGTGATTATTGTTTAAGAGGTAGGTAACACTATTAAAATTTACTTCCATGGATAATGAAATATTAAACCTAGACCTTTGTTATAAAAAGGGAGACACATGCACTCAGACATGCACACAAGCATGTCAATATTGGATTTGAACTCAGGATCTCTTCCAACAGAAGGAGGTGGCGTTACCCACAAGACACAAACTCAAATTTTTAAAAATTAAAGTAACAAAACATGATATGAGAGACTAAATTGATAAAAAAATTAAATTAATTTAAAAGTTAATTTATTTTTATTTAACTATATATACTTGCCAGTGGTTAACACACTTTACATATTAAATTAATTTGATATTCAATTCATGTTTTAAATCTTAAAAGACTAAGATGGTAATTGAAAAAAAATATAAAATAAATTTGAGAAACTAAAAGTTTTCAAGATCCATATATATAGAGAATATTCGCTCAATGGCCATGAAAAATAGAATTTCCATAAATTACGAATGAGCTTTTCAAATATTTTAAAATATGGTCTATTCACAAAATTAGTTAGAGGTGATTTTCCCTTTTTATCAACAGAACAAATATATAAAACATGTAACAATAACTTCCTCATAAAATGGGCTAAGAATATATCTTGTGTAATTAAATGATTTTAACATTTACTTAAATTCTTTAACCTTCAGTTAGCTGAATCGATTCCCTACACCCACAACCATCTTATTTCTCCCCTTTTCACAATCATTCATTTCCTTTATTTCCTTAGGAGAATTACTGTCAAATGTTTCTCAATAGCTTGATCTAATACTTGTAGGATTGATCATTTGACTCTGGTTTATGGAAGTTGAACAATAGGCTAGAATCTATCATCTATCATTCACCATCTTCACATTTATCGATAATATCTTTACCTAATAGTTGTTCATTTGTTCATAATCTATGATTTGTTATCATTGATTATGAAACTTTGTTTGCATTATTACTAGAAAACACATGTTATTCTCTCATTGTTCATGATTTTTTTTTATTTTATTAGTTTAGATACTTGATTTTCTATGATAAGCTAAGAGTTCAAAATTTTTTATAAATTGTGTTTGATCTATTTTGGACAAATGATTATGTGTTGTGTTACTAATATGCAATATTACATCATTGATATACGATTGCATATTAATAATAAACAAATTTATGTTTAATTGTCTGGTTATGTGGATCTGCGATATACTATTGTATATCACTAATATATAAGTCATATCAACAAAAACTTACCGATACTATTTTATCATATAAATATGGAGGATGCTTAATTCGTCATTTCTTATGATAAAAAATGGGATTTAAACAACTGTTATGTTGATGGTTCATATATTGAAGTACTTATGGAAGAATTTTGCTTCACACATTCACTAATGATAAAGCTTGTTGTGTAATGTCCTCCTTAATATTACCAAGACAATATTCTAACACGCTGTTGTGATAATATGAGTTAATTAAAATTCTAAATAAAAGTTATCACAACTCAAGGATTTAAAAATAAATAGTTAAAAATGTTTAGGATCCCAAGAAAATTCTTTTTGAAAAGTTGTTTGAGCTTAAATTATGATTTAAAATAAATCAAATAAAATAATGAAAGTATGAGAAGCAAATAGCACTTGAAAATAAGTAGAAGAAAGCTAAAATTTCCCTAGAAACTAGCTCATCCACTATGACACAGGCCACACTTACTGCAATGGATGGCATAGAGGGACAAGTTCCTCAGCACGCATTGCGTTGCACCACGACATAAACCTACTATCATGATAGTAGACTGCTATCATCACAGCAGTTTGAACTTTTAGAGTGTATCGTTTCATCATCCGAAATCCAATTTGAGCGGTTTAAATGTACACACAAAGCTCTTCGAGCCCTCTAACTAATGGCACCAATTTCATACTCAAATAATCATTCATTAAAAAGATGGATATTGAACCGAAAATGGTCCGTTTTCACCTCAAAACACATTCTCCAATTCACACCATCAAATGCTATTAGATCTAAAAAAATTTTGACCAACTCAAATGAACCACACACAACATACATGGCCAATTATGTCACACAAATAACCATTCATACTTAAAATGACTACCAAACTCCCAAATTTTAACAATACAAAAGGGTGGATAAAATTCAATATAAATCTCATTTTGGTCATTCCAACACATAGTTAATATAATAAATCACTTGTACAAGTATTTTGGCCATTCACACTCACTTATCCACAAGCACCATAATTTTAGGTTGAGATACGCACACATCACATAGAGTTTCATACAAGTGATAGCAAAATAATGAAATGATCCTAAGTTGGCATTATATTCAATATATTTGTTACAAAAATCAAAGACAAGGAAGAAGAACTCTTCACTCTTTGGTCACCCCTTCCTTCCTCTTACCTCTACTGGAGTCCTCACCTATAAAATATAACCACAGGATGACATAAACATTTTAGTAATAGAATAATTCACTACTATCAATTAACATGTACAACCAAAAGCTAATAAAGCTTATATACTTCAAAAATACTCTTTTAGTATATTCAAACATATCATTTCCATGAACGCGGGTTATTTACTACTAGCATAATCATTCTACCATTCGAGCCTCCATATCACCCCGATAGAAACTGTAAGCTCTTGAATCAAGTACACATTTACAATGGATCGAGCTCACCTTTAGTGGTAGGATCACTCGATCAAAAGTGTCTTATTTCACTTTCAGGCTATGGTCTCCCTCTATCACACATAAATCAGGGTGTCGTTACTTTAACATTACATTGTTAATGATAAGGAGTGTCAACTTTCAGTGCTGTATCCCACATCAATACTAAGGAGATAATCTCTAACACCGTGTCTCACTAGGCACCAAGGAGATACTTATCATATAGACTTTTACTACTTCTTCTTATGAGTGAACTCTGTAACATCCTAAAAATTTTAAGACTCAAATTTATTTAAAAAAAATAAATAAAAATAAAATAAAATATTTATAATTAAATTAAAATTTAGAATAATTTGATAGAGGCCTAGAGTTTGAATTTTACTAAGCAAAAGTTTGGTTTTATTTGATTTTTAACTATGGGAAAAATTACCAAAGTTGACCCGGGCTTTTGTGCAATAATAAAAAATGTTGGGCCATTTCTTGTAATTTTCCCCAAACTTTTTGACCAGCAATTTAAAGACCAAAATTGATGCAGAAACGCAGAAATTGAATTGGAAAGGAAAGGAAAGGAAACATATGAGAGGGAGAGAGGAAGAAGAGAAGAGAAAGGGAGGGAGTTAGGCTTAGATCTATGAGTCTTTGCGACCGTTGCGAGCTCGGCTACACGATAGGTAAACTCCCTACTTCAATTCTCTTCTCTTTCTCTTGATTTTCTTCAATTTTTGGAAGAGAAAATTTTTAGATTTTGATCCCAAAGGCTTTATTCTTGTAAGCTTTTGTTTCTTTGGATTCTAGGGAGCATGTTTTGAGTTTCTATATAGTGATCTAATGTTTTGAGTGGATAATTGGATGAAAAGAGGTGTTTTGGACAAAAAATAAATCCTGAGAAATTGGGTTTTTGCTCTTTAATGGTTTAAGCTTATTGATTTAGTTATAATTTTGCTATTTGAGCCCAATAAGATTTAAATTAAGGTTTGGTTTTCATTATAAGGGCTAATGGTGAAAGTTGGTGACACTAAGTGAAGGTTTTTAATTGATAAAAAATTATATAAATTGGAAATTAGCCTAATGATGGCTAATAAATGGTTTTGGTGGTTAAGTGATACTATGTAAATGGTTGGTTAAATATATGAACCATTGGGATGGATTATGGCTCATAGACCCAAGTTGTGTGGTATGAGTTATAGTCTTCATTGATGCTATTTGTCATAATAAGTGATGTGGATCACTTATATATTGTAGAAAATTGTTGGTGGAACTTATTGAGAAGTAAGGAACAAGTCGAGCCCTATTTTGTACAAGGGAAACCCTTTTAGTACCAAAGGGTTGAGGTAACAGGGGAATTTATATTTCTTATTACTTTGTTTTAGCTATTTTTGAATAAATATTACTAGTTATCATGCATTACATGTTTTAAAAGATTAAATGTGCTTTATAAGGGGTTATGGGGTTTTACTTTGATTATAGTGCAAATATGTTTTCTAATTATTTAATAACAATGTTTTTATGGAAATGAGATTTATAAATATTATACTACTTTAGAGTGTTGAATGGTCAATACTCAGGAAAGGTAGACAAGAGTAAAAGGCATGATCTCGGTGGGAGTTCACCAATGAGAAGGTGTGAATTTTTGATATTCTATGGCACACTGTCAGTACTCAGTGTTGTCTTACGTATTGTGGGCTCAGTGCACTAAAGTGGTTAGTGTATTGAGTGTTCGACACCTCTCAGTGGGGGAGGGAATCTGACATATGAAGTGTGAGGTTGAGTGCCTAGGCCAAGGTAGCCCTCACATGGAGAGTAAGTCGGGCTGGCTCTGGGAGGGAGTTAGCTTTGACTGCTCAGGATTCACGTCGAAGGGGCATAGGCGATTCGGTGGATTAGATCATGCCTTAGATTATGTTTTGTGCCTGTGGAGGTACAAGTAGGTATAAGGCTTACCTGCGAGTTAAAGAGTGCCAGGGGGCATTCTGTTGGTCATGAAAGGCCATACCGGCCTAGGTCATGCATTCATGCATTTTAAATGGCTAAATTATATACTATGTTGAATTTATTATTCGTTTATTTGATTATGGCTTACTTTGAAATAATCAATGTAAATTTCGCTGTTACTGAGACTGTGGTTGTCTCACCCTTTTCTTTTCAATATTCTAG